CATGCGTGTACATGTAACCAACAGCGTAAGATTGGCAAGAGATTAGTAGGTCACGCAAGGCAAATTGTCGACTTTTTAATCGCTTGCTGCGTTCCAGCAATAAAAGTTGCCAATCATGATTTTGCTTCAACTCAATAAGAAACACCCAAATAACTATAAAATCGAAGAAAATTTGAAAAAAGCTGCCGCACTTTTGAGAAACGGCTTTCTAAAATTGCCCAAAATTTCAGTATCACCGGAAGTACGTCAACCATACGATGTTTGACGTAGCTCGATAAAAAGGAAATTCACGAAACTAATTTCTTTCAGCACGAATGACTAGCTAGATGCTTGGAAAATACCGGATAAGTGATAAAAAATGTTATTATCTTGTGTAGCAAGTTTTATGAGCTCTCAAAGCTGGCTTTCAATTCATACAGTACATAGACTTTCTCGGGGTCAAAACTGAGGGGGGTAGTCAACTCGTAAACTAAAAGCTCGTTAACGCGCATATTTTACCAGTCGTATTTCTATCTGATGCCTATGAAATGGTATTAATTTGGAGGAGATCGGCGGACCCCCATCTTTTTACCCTGCCCGGTTTTCTCAGACAATGACTCTTAAGCACTCTAAACACTTTCTGTAAAATTTAACGACGACTACATGGAAGCACGTCATTGTTTAAAAGATTTTTTCACGTTCTCTCAACATCGCGAGTAGTTATACATGACGGTAAACCGATAAAAAAGTGTGCTTCAGTGCTTAGCTATACCGGAGCGACGCACGTGAGATTTGGACTTGTAATAGTTGCAGGCTAATAGGAGTTAAAATTAACTCTTTGTGCTATATCATCTCACTGTTTCCGTACATACTACGAGTACGTTTCGGTAATAGGGTATGGCGAAAACCAAGGAAAAAAATTGTTCCAACTTCGCAAATCGTTGAGGGTTAGGCAAACTATGACCCTTTGTCACGCTGAAGACTATATTTTATATATTTTCAGATATGTTTCTGCCTTTTCAGGACGGGATTTGCTTTTGATTTTAACCAAAGACTTTGTTTCCTTTTTTCAGGTTTTGCGATGAGAAATTGAGAAGATCAAATGTTCGAAATATACAAGATTCAAACGTGAATGTAGATAAAGTTGAGTTAAAGTATAAAGCTGTTTGGCGCGAAAACGTCGCAAGGGATTCCAAGCTTAAGGGAAAACATGACGCCTTGATAGTTTAAAACCTTTTTTTGGGATGATAATTTTTGTTCTTAAGATTGTGTTTATGAGAGCACAGGGCAGTCGTGCTACATGCCATCTCACCGATTTCGATAAAACTTTGCCAGTTTAAAGGGTCTACCCCAAAACTCAAAAAGACAAAGTTGTCTCTGTTTTGGTTTTTTCCGGGAGGATATAGAGTATATGAAGCTTTCACTACGATGGTATTTAACCAATTACTCTGAGAATCTGCACACTTATTATTACATCCTTAGTTAATGTGCGATGCAAGTATCAGTCAATTTAATTTACGTCTTGTCAATCAACAGAGGCAAATAAACGACTGCGTTTTTAGACGTTTCGATTCATCTAGATATTTTGACAACTTTGAGGTCAACTATCTCCCTTTGCCAGAAAGCTGCATCACTTCTTAAAGAATATAAACTCAGAAAAATTATTTTCAATTCATTTCCCTCGTTTATTTTCCGTAACGAACTTATCCAAGATTTGGAATGAAGCGCGAGTGTACGAACTCCCTTCTCCTGGCAAGGAAGATATAACCCTCGATCCAGTGGCTACCCAACCTTCCTCCCCGCCCCTTCCTTCCACCCTAATGCTCGGAGGCAAGTTAGGCTGAGAACTGATGGACTGGGTGGATACATCATAAAGTTTGTCTGATTGATGACTAACAAGCCTGGCCTTAGCTATTGATATTTTTTAAAACAATGACACACTTTGTGACTTTGGTGAATATGTCTGACCATTGTAATGTTGTAACTGTTACAACTATCCCTGTAATTTCCCCTCATCGTCTCTTTACATGGCCTGCATGATTAAAATTAGAAAGAATAGTCTACACTTTTGACTTACAGCGCTCTTAGATTGGTATTGTCCATAAATATGTCTTTTGGCAAATTCTCCAACTGGTTGTTGCCCAAGAATCTGTGAACAAATGACGAGAGTTATAGTACGTGTAACAAGTGTTCAGCCGAGATTTGCGCTCGTAATCGTTGCAGGGTAATAGTAGCTAAAATTATCTCTTTTAGCTATATTATCTCACTGTTTTTGTATTCACTACGAGTACGTTTCAGTAGTCGGGTAAAGTTAAAACCAAGGGAAAAACAAGTTCCAGCGGCTCCGAAATCATTGAAGGCAAATGTGGACAAACCTCCGTTGAAGTATAAAGCTGTTTGATGCGAAAATGTCGCAAGGGAGTCGACGTTTAACGGAAAACATGTCGTCTTGATTTTTTTGTAAATTTGTTTTACGAAAATAACTTTAGATCTCAATAACTTGATTTCATTTTACTTTTACTAATAGTTTGCTTATTATTTTTTGTATCTTTTTTTTTTTCGGTTTTCGCTTTTTAGGCCTGGTTAAGTAATAAACTTTAATTTAATTTAAAAAATCGTTCACAACGAAATTCAGCGAAAGTTTCTGTTAAAACGTTTCTGTTTGAGGCCACTTTCATATTCTATTTTATATTTTATCTTACACTTTTCTGTAAATAAAGCTTTCTTTACATTTATTACCTTAAAATTGCTCTCTAAAAAAAAACAATTTCTGTGGTTCAATGTTGTGCACACTTCTTATCCTCTAAATATTCCTGCAAGTTCTTAAAAATTTGAAAAATTAATCTTTTATCGTAAGGTTTTCACCGCCGAGAGAATTGCGGGATTTGCGCCCGAAAGTATTGTAATCGTTGCAAAAATAAAATAACATTTTTATGTTATATCATCTCACTTTTTTTGTATACACCCGCTATACAACTACTCATATCAGCACCAGTGGCTGGTGGTGGATATTTAAGTCGCTGTTTTGTGGCTTGTTTAATATCAACCCCCAGCTACCTCCACTTCGCTGCATAGTCGTTAGCTATGAAGAATTTCGAAAGAGGACAGACTTAAACTACTCGAACAAGGGTACACCTACCAATCTTTTACGATGTAAATTTTAATTCTTTTTCTTGGATTGGTTTGTCCTAATTTCTTAAGTTTTCTAGCAAATTTCCAGCTGCAGGTCATTTTGTTATTTAAGAATAGTGACTGGCATTCGAACTCTTGCAATTTCTAATTAAGTGTCAACACCCATCGATCCGTACTCTGAGACCTGCGTTAAACATGACCGAGTGCTAGACATGAGATTTATAATTCGGGATCACTTAATTTTAAATTCAGTTTTGCTACAAGATTGCTTCGTTTTAGCCATTTTAGAGTCAAAGACCTTTAGACACTCTCGACTAGAGCTCTCCAAACTACTCGCCAAGAAAGGAAAAACTTGGTATGTTCTTGCCTCAAGAAAACTGTACCGAAAAACTAACTACATTTTTCTTTAGATATTTCTGAGAATCTTCATGATATGTTAAAAAAAACCCTTCGAATGCAAGATCTGTGGCAATTCTTTTTGCTGTCCGCGATTTAAACTTTCACTTGATAATTTTTGCCAAGTTTAAGTGTTCTGAACACTTTTGTAAATTTGAACGACAACTCCACGGCCATTTTAATACAAGCTGAGACAACTTAAATTTTGTGAAAGGAAAAGAATGTAGCGCGAGTAAACAAAATAAGTTAAAAAAAGAAACAATTTGTGTGGTCTAATGTTGTACACTCCTCTCATCCACTGAATATTCCTGCCACCCCTCACAAATTGTAAAAATATTTTTCCCCAAAAGGTTTGTAAAAAAGGACACCTGGGAAGCAA